CTCCCAAGCAGACTCCCCGCTGAGCACGGAACCTGATGCAGGGCTCAGTCCCAGGAAACTGAGATCGTGACCTGAGCCGAAATCGCGAGTCTGATGCTTAATCGACTGAGCCATCCAGGTACCCCTGTTCTGGTAGCTTTTTTTTTGGTAGATTCTTTAGAAGACTCATGTTGTCTGTGACTAAGGACAACTTTATTTTCTTTCCAGTCTTATGCCTTCTGTTTTCTTGCCTATTGTACTACTAGGACCCCTAACACAATATTGAGTAGAAGTGCTGAAAACTGACAGCCTTGGCTTATTCTTGAACCTAAGAGGTAAGTAAGTTGAACTTAAATTCTATTTAGGCTCAACACCATACCAGGTCTACTTTGCACCTCACACCTTTTACAATACACTTCGTACCTCTCATTTTACATCTAACATTGCCCTCATCCAGGTACCAATCAATTCTTCCTGAATCCACTCTGAAGAGAATTTTTACCACTGCACCACTTCATCAGGACTTCTCTTTGAGGTCACTCATATTTTCTATATTGTTTAATCAATGTCATTTCTCAGCCCTCATTTTTTTTTACCTGCCAGTGGCATTTGTCACAATGATCACTCTCTTTTCCTCAAAAAATTTTCTTCACTTTCCAGACATCATGTTCATCTGACATCACATGTTCCTTCTGAAGGCCATCTAGGGCGTGCCTTGGTGGCTCAGTTTGTTAAGTGTCCGACACTTGATTTCAGCTCAGGTCGTGATCTCAGGGTCTTGAGATCAAGCCTCACATCAGGCTCTGTGCTGAGTGCGGAGTCTACTTGTCCCCCTCCCTCTGGTCTTCCTCCTGCTCTCTTTCCCTCTTTCTCAAATAAGTAAATAAATAAATAAATAAAACCTTAATAAAAATAAAGGCCATTTAGTCTTTGCTGCTTATTCTTTTTTATATCCTGGTCTATAAATATCAGGTTATACTCCATGGCTTGGTTCTGGTTCTTCTCATCTCAGTAAATGGCAATTTGATCTTTCCAATTGCTCAAGTCAAAATCCTTAGAGATGTTCTAGCTGCTTCTCTCTCATTGTATATCCAATTCATCTGCACATACTGTCAGCTTTACTATCAAAATATAATCTCTCACTTCTCCACTGTTTTCACTTTGATTAAAGTTATCTCTCACCTGGATTATTTCAAGAGCCACTTAAATGGTCTCCCTGTTTCCACTCTTGCTACGCTAAAGTCTATTTTCAACAGAGCAGCCATGGTACTTTAAAACACACGTCAGATTGTATGCCAGTTCTTTTCATCTCACCTCTCAATGGCTTCCCATCTTATTCAGAGTAAATGTCAAACTCTTTTTATAAAAGGTTGATTTATTTGAGAGAGAGAGAGAGAGTGCGTGAGAGCATGTGCGTGTGGGGTGGGGGAAGGGACAGAGGGAAAGGTAGGGAATTTTAAGCAGACTCCCCACTGAGCGTGGAGCCAGACTCAGGATTTGATCTCAAAACCCTGAGATCATCCAGAACAGAAACCAAGAATCAGACACTTAACCAACTGAGCCATCCAGGCGCCCCAATGTCAAATTCTTTACATTGACCAACAAGCCCCTACAAGATATGCTTCTCCCTGTCATTTACTTCTCTGCAATATCTCTTAGCCTTTTCTTCTAGCCATCAGTTGCAGCTGCATCAGCCTCCTGCTGGTCTATGAAAATGCTTATCATGCTCCTGCCTTAAGGCATTTGCACTTGCTATTTCCTTCATCACATCTCTACCTGGCTCCTTTTCTTTAAGGGACGTTCAAATGTCCCCTTTCTCCATGAGGCCTTCACTGACCATCCTGCTTAAAATTGCATCCCGGGGGCGACTGGGTGGCTCAGTTGGTTAAGCAGCTGCCTTTGGCTCAGTTCATGATCCTGGGGTCCTGGGATCGAGCCCCACATCGGGCTCCCTGCTCAGTGGGGAGCCTGCTTCTCCCTCTCCCTCTGTCCCTCCCCCAGCTCATGCTCTCTCTCTCTCAAAATAAATAAATAAAATCTTAAAAAAGAAAACAAAAAAATAAAATTGCATCCCATAGTACTCTCTATGCCTTTTCTCTGTTTTGTTTTTTCTACAGCACTCATGGAACATCCTAGATATTTTATGATAGTTATTTGTTTGCCTCCCCTCACTAGAAATAAGCTCCATAAAGGCAATAAATCTTAAATATTTTGTGCATTGCCATTTCCCAGGGCCTGGGATAGTGCTTGGCACATAGCAGGTGCTCAATAAATATTTACTCGGTGAATCGATGAATATTCCCACCACCAAATCTTTAAATCTGTATTGCCCTCCTATTAGAGCTTTCCTCTATCCAAGTGCTACTCTTTTTCTTGTGCTCCTTGTCGCCTCCCTTTTCCCCTTCTTACTGACTTCATATCTGCTGCTATTCCATCTCTCTCCCTCACCTTCAATCACCCTGTCCCCCCACCCCCACCCCGTGGACTATCTTTCATCTCAGAAAAAAATTCTCCTTTGATAGCACATCCTCTTCAAGTTGTACCTCCATTTCTCCGTTCCACTTTATGGCTAAGCTTCTCAAACAGGTTGTCTACATTCTCTCTCCACCTCTCTAATCTCAGCTCTGACCACTCTTGCCCCTCACTCTGTATGCCCTGAGCACACGGGCATCCTTTCTGCTCCTCTGCCTTCAGTACTTCAGCTGGCTATCTCATCCTTTACTCAAAGCTTTTCACAGGCCTTTCCTGCCCACCATGTCCCAAGTACTTTCTAGCTTATGACCTGTTTATTTTCCTTATGGGGCTTATAATGTAATTACCTTGTGCACATATTAATTTATGGTCTGTCTCCCACTAAAATGTTAGCGCCACGAGAGCAAGTGTTTTGTTCACAGCTGCATCTCTAGAGTCCAGTGGTGCCTGGAACAGAGTAAAGGTTCAATAAGTGTTGAGTGAATGAGTGAGTGAGTTTCCAGTGACCAGACAGAGGACTTAAATCTAACTGACATGTGCAAATAGATGCATTCACAGTACTGCTTCTGGAAGCAGTATTTCATATATTGAAAAAATGGGGTGGGCTGGGGAGAAATGTCTATCAGTGGGGGATCTGCTAAGTAAATTATAGTACATTTACACAATGGCATACTCTGCAGCCATACTACGTGGTGATGTAAATTTGTATTTATTGAAATGATGAATTATCCAGGATATTATATAAAGCAACAAATAAACAACCTTGAAAGCACAACTTACTGAATGGATGGCACAGTCCACTTCTGTGGAATAAAATATATTCTATCTAACCCGTGTCTTTGTAAAGCTAGATATGTAGGAATTATTTATCAAAATATTAACAGTTTTATCTAGGTGGTAGGATTTCAATTAATACATGTTTTCTTTAGTTTTTGTATTTTTAAAGTATTTTATGGTCAACATGTAAGCATTTTATTTCACCAGTTACATATAAATTGTTTGACTCATGCACTCATTCATTCAACACTATTGAACTTCCACTCAGTTTCAGGCACCTCTAGACCCTAGAGCATACAATCACATTTTTCTTTTTCTTTTCTTTTCCTTCTTTCTTTCAAGATTTATTTATTTGAGAGAGAGAGAGGGAGACAGTGTGCATGAGAGCAGGGGGAGGGGCAGAGGGAGGAGAGAGAATCTCAAGCAGACTCCCCTCTAAACAGGAGCCCCACTTGGGGCTCAATCTCATGACCTTGAGATTATGACCTGAGACGAAACCAAGAGTCGGTTGCTCGACTGACTGAGCCAACCAGGCGCCCCAATCACATTTCTTTCTTATGTGTTGTATGCAGCCTTCTTTTAGGGCTGTTTGAAGCTGACCCCACCATCTACCTCTTCTGACTTAGAGAGAATGACTTGAGGAAATAAGATAGTTTGTATTTGTATGGCATGTCCGAATACCTGGCACTTGGGGGATGGCTCTTTGAAGGTTAATTGCCTCCCTTCTCCTCTTGAGAGCGCCATTTTAGCTGCACCTACAGCTAAGTAACACTGCATCACCGTGCAATCCAACAGGCAGGAGGGAGGGTCTATTAACCTGACCCTGCTGCCTCTTTGCATCAGGTGCTGTTTGGAAAGCTGAGGCCAGTAGATGTTGAGTGAATGGGAGTAAACTTGACTTTCTTGATCAGCTTTCTGAATACACTGTCACGATAGATGTGAGGAATCCTGGAGATCACAGGAAGTACAGGATTTAGAATAACGGGCCCCATGCCAAGTGCTGAGGTCTCCTCTCTGATGATGCAGTACTTCTCAAAAATGTGCAGGAGAGTGAGTTCTAGCGGGGGTGCAGTCTGGTGATGGGGTAGTCTTGTGCGGTGACTGAAGTCATGACATATCTTCGAAGTCTTCTACATTATTTAAAAAAATTTGAATTTTGCACTCTATTCCACAATGTTTTATGTATTTTAAAAATAGTGTCTTTAATAAAAAACACTTTTTTATTTTAAACAGAGTTGATGCTTGAGGAAAGTAGATCTTTTTAGCGGTAGCTTTGTATTTTCCTCTGTATACTCCAGGTTTCTGGGAATCCCCACTTGAAAAGTGCAGGCTCTGCTATCATTGTTTTTATCCACACTTAAATAAGGACACTACTGAAATTACAGTGCAGAGCAGCGGCCTCCAACTATAGTACTACTAGAGGAGAGGGAGCTGTGTTAGGATTTCTGCTGCAATTGATAGAAATTTTCCTGAGCCACCGAAGTTAAATGGAGAGAGAAAAAAAAGCTACAGACAGACTTCATTATAAGGATATGGGGAGTTCCCTAGTCTGGGGAAGAGTCAGAAAGCTGTCTGGATTCAGCCTCTGCACATGACCATCTCTCTCCATGGGTCAGCACCCCAAGATCCCCTGTGCATGCAGAGAGAAATACAGCTATCTGCAGCTCCGAATTTACAGGTAGCGCTCACAGACATCTAAGAGATGGATGCACCATCTCTTGGTCCCACATTCCATGGGATACTATGGTTGCTCCATCAGCTACATCCGGGAAAGGGGCATTTGGAGAACAAGTGTGACCTCCTGGGGCCCACCCCTGCCATGAGTTCTTCCCTAGAGAGCCGGTGAACTGGGCTGACACTTAAAAAGGCAAATAAGTGGCAAAGACTTCAGGCTTTTAATGAAGCTCTAAGTGAGAATAGCAGAGATAGCTAGGGATCAGCTGAAGGATCTTTCTGTACGCCGCCTTGAAGTTAACGGTCCAGTCAAACCTGATTGTAGATGCCCACGGTTTGTGGAAATATGTGTAGTTGTGAGTGACCTTTTAAACTACAAACTTTCCAATTTTTAAAAAAATTGTTTTGAGAACCTCCTCGTCTATCTTGAAACACCAGCGCCGCCAAGATGCCGGCTTACCACTCTTCTCTCATGGACCCTGACACCAAACTCATTGGAAACATGGCACTGTTGCCTATCAGAAGTCAGTTCAAAGGACCTGCCCCTAGAGAGACAAAAGATACAGATATTGTGGATGAAGCCATCTATTATTTTAAGGCCAATGTCTTCTTCAAAAACTATGAGATTAAGAATGAAGCTGATAGAACCTTGATATATATAACTCTCTACATTTCTGAGTGTCTAAAGAAACTCCAGAAGTGCAATTCCAAAAGCCAAGGTGAAAAAGAAATGTATACGCTGGGAATCACTAATTTTCCCATTCCTGGAGAGCCTGGTTTTCCACTTAATGCAATTTATGCCAAACCTGCAAACAAACAGGAAGATGAAATGATGAGGGCCTACTTACAGCAGCTGAGACAAGAGACTGGACTGAGACTTTTTGAGAAAGTTTTTGACCCTCAGAATGATAAACCTAGCAAGTGGTGGACTTGCTTTGTGAAGAGGCAGTTCATGAACAAGTCTTTCAGGACCTGGACAGTGAAAGGAGCCTGAGCAGATACTTTCCACAGCCATGGGCAGCATTTTACAGCAAGACGTACACAGTTATTTGCCTTTATTTGATAAAGTTTTATACAGAAGAGAGAAGAGAGCATGTCTTCACTTGAAGAGCTCTTTATCAAGAATTTGGGTGAGGGAGGGAAAATTGGGTGATTTGAAATTTTCTGCAGTATTAAGCTGGTGCTTAATAAAAATAAGTAAGAATAAAGAAATTTCTAACAAAAAAAATTGTTTTGAGGTTTTATTTATTGAAGTAATCTCTACACCCCATGTTGGGCTTGAACTCATGACCCCAAGATCAAGAGTCACATACTCTTCCGACTGAGCCAACCAGGTGCCCCTACAAACTTTCAAATTCCTTAGTAAAAAATCATACTCTTGCCTTTCTGTATTATCCCTCCTGAATATTTCATGTAAATTAAAAAAATGTAGATGCAATTTAGGGCCTGTTAAACAAAATTAAGGCAAATCCTCATGAGAGCTCCCAGAGAATTCTGGAGGACTAATTTAAAAATACCTGGTATCAGAGCGCCTGGGTGGCTCAGTCAGTAAAATGGCCAACTCTTGATTTCAGCTCAGGTCATGATCTCAGGGTCCTGGGATGGAGCCCTGCGTCAGGCTCCGCGCTCAGTGGGGAGTCTGCTTGAGATTCTCTCTCTCCCTCTGTCCCTCCCTGCCACACTTGCATGTGCTCTCTAAAATAAATAAATAAATAAATCTTTAAAAAAGTACCTGGTATAATACACGAAGAGGGGAGTGTATCACACTTCTGATTTGTTGTGTATCTCATTAGCTGCTTCGTCTATCATTCTGCATCAGTATATAAGCGGTTGAACGAAGAGGAACACACATTAATAGAAATGGTCTTCCTCTTTGACACCCCTCAGTGGTTCCAAATTTCTTTATAAGGCATATTAAACGCTTCCCAACATCACCTCCAGACTCCTTCGCATATCTCCCCCCCCCCACTAACTGTTTTCAAACATTAAGTCACGGCCTATTAGTGGGGTTGTGAAATCAGTTTAGTGGGTTGCCACCAGTATTTTCAGGGTGCAGGATAATAAAATAGGAAAGAGAACCTGTGGGGCACTCAACATCATTTTGTGAAATCTCAGTTCCTGGTATATACCTGTGTGCATCTGTGCGCACGCACGCACACACCAGATCATGTGGTGAGACTGGATTTCTTTCTGTAGCTTATGATCCAGATGTTAACAGCCACTGCCCCAGGGGTGACCTCATCAATCTTACAGCTTGCTCTTACATCATTGCATGCCTTTGCACATGCACAGTATTTCTGCTTGTACGCCTGGGAGACACTGATTTTCGGTTTTGAGTCCATTCAACTATCACTTCCAGTGTGACTCCTTTGCTCATCTGTAGGTTATCAGCAGTTGGGTTACACAAACCTTTTCATGGTCCCCATCTGCAAGCTCTGGAAAGGACTGCCGTGCCTTACTTAGTTTTGGGTTGTCAGAGTTTGGCATAATCAACTAGTAAGAGGTTACTAAACATTTGTTGCTGAGGCTTTAAGCGCAATGAGCTGCTATTTCGTTTTTCTGAAAAGGAGTCTCTTGCAACAAAAGTTTAAAACGCATTCTGCTAAAACTTGCTATTTAATTATAAGTTATTTTACTCACCGTAATTATATTCATTTTACATTAAGTAAAAAGAAAAATAGCTATGACAGTCATTTGTTTCCAAGAAAGCAGTCTAAGACAGCTGTTTTTATTATTTTTATTTGCTACCAATATTTTTATTGTAAGAAATACAAAAGGTATGACAAATATACAAACCATTCTCTTTTTGCTTCAATTTAGCTTGTGCATATGTGAAAACAATGAACTGGACAGTGACGTTTCAACACGAATTCTTAAAAAACAATGAATTCCATTATCTGACAATAAATACCTAAATTTGCATTCTAGCACCCAGTAAGACATCCAGTTTCCAAAGGATTTGTGATCTGCAACCCTCTGCATTTTCTGACAGGTTACCTTTGCCATTGCCACAGAGTGAACACTGGCAGTTGTCATTCTCCAAGTTAAGTCCTAGAGTAAGGTGCATGCTAGAATGACTGTCCCTGACCTCGGGTAGTCCAGATCATAAAGAATCTTTGCCTTGAGCTACTTTTTAAAACAGACTGCTAGTGATGGGGGATTTAATGTAAGTTTTGGTAGTCCTTGGATTATATATTTTACATGATACAAACAATCTACTTTTCTATTTTCCTCTTCAGGTGAGAAGAGTCTAGATAAACTGACCTGTATTTTCATCTACCTAAAGGGTAAAGAAGCAAGATCATTTAGCTCAGGGTGCTAAAAAGGGGGTAACTTTACAGATAAGCTTTCCTTCTTTCTTTCTTTTTTCTTTTTCTTTTTTTTTGCCCCAGGAGAGCTTTTTGTGTATTGGAGGGATGGTCGCCAGAGCGAGAGAGAGCCCTTCCCATTCTGCTCCTGTCTACACCCACGGCCATTCTTCTTTGGGGGCTAAATGATCCGGCACATAGGAAGGTCTCTGCTTTCAGAGAGCTGCACCGCACCCACATTTGGGGAGAGCACAGGGTTTCTGTACTCTGTGACAAAGGATACCCAGGTGAACCTGACAGGCCAGTGTGGTAACTCTCAACCTTGTGTATGGAGAAAAGAGCAGAAGCACTATCTACTACCAAGCCATCTGCTAACATTCTTGTAAGACTGTGTTCCAGGCAGTGAATTTCCACACTGCTTCTTTGACCTGCTCAATCCAAAGCACCAAAACAGCATTCTGTAGCAATATGAGCAAACGGAATGAGAGTAATTTTGCACCTTTAAGGAACATGCACCCTTATAAGTCTGTACCCTGATATTAAAATAGCAGAATGAGTTTCAAGTATGAAGAAATACAGTAAAACTATGGCCTGTAGATGGATAGAAAACAGCAGCCTGGAATGTGGTTTATAGTCTTGTTTAGTTTCTCTCCTTGCACCACAGCCAAAATTGAATGCTCTGTAGGATGACTTGGTTTTAAAATCACGATGCACACAAACATGCTGGAGGGCATTTGTGATGGGTGTTGTGAGCACGCTCTGTGCCCAGCCAAAGGTCAAGTAATAGTGGTGGCCAAGCCTGAGCAGGCACACCCGTGATGCCTAAAGCCTCCCTCTCATTGTGTCCCTGACGCCCGAAGAGCGGCAGAAGAGGATAAAGAGCACCACACAGACAGGCTGGGATGGGGGCGGGAGGGAGGAAGGATGAAGGGGACAGGAGGACATTGGTTATCCTGGGCTGGTTCACACAGCCTAGATTAGTATCTGACATGTGCATGCACAATCTCTACATCTCCAGAACCGTGATTTCAAACACAGAAACCAACAAGTCAAATGTCCAAAATAAGGTGTTTTTTTTTCCCTACGTTTAACACATTTTCTACTATAAAAGTTCCAAAAAAAAAAAAAAAAAAAAAAAAGCTTACTTGGTAGGACAACCTTGCTGAAAACCTAGAATAAAGTTTTACCTAAGCCCTATGGGAAGGCAGAAACACTACACTAATACATTTTACAGTGAAAACATGCATTGACACATCTCTGACATGGTAATCCTATAAAACCCTCTAGTTCTAATCTGCACTCTACGGGAACCGATATTGTGCTTTTCTTAACACGTACTGCTCTTCTATACCAAACACTTGCCAATTAACCTTCAGATCAAAACCTGAAATACCAGAAATGCAACAAGCTTCTGAGGTGTTGGGGACTGTTGGTTGTTACCATCCACTGTTGACTACTGTACATCCAGTCCTTGTGTTTATTACCAGACTGAATTGCTTCTGTACAAAAACACGTTGCTTGAAGCACGGAAACTTGAATTTCTCCATCTGACACATTCTGGAGGCCCCAAGGCACAAGCTGACAGTTTGCTTCTACAGAAAACTCTCACACTGTTCTCCTTGCAACAGTTACTACCTGTTCCCACTACTGCATAGGATACCTATGAGGGTACGAGATCGCAGGGAGGAAGCTTCTTCTCGAGGCCAGATACGAGGAGGCACCACCCAGGTACCTGTCTCTGCCGGGCATCTACTCTGACGGCTGTCTGGCCGAGTTCCTAAATTAAGGCAGTATCTGATGCTTTCTATCTGGTTTTAATTTTTTTTGCTGTATTTTCACGCTATACTATATGCATAGTTGACAAAAGAACTACAAAGTCCTTTGCTTTAACTCCTTTACATAATGATAAAACATCTAGACACAAAAATACTACACCTACAGACTTAAATTCTACTCATCATGTTAAAATGCACGCAGCTTATTTGGGGGCTTAGTCTAATTTTAATTTACGTCGCTCCATCGAGACCATGATAATGAACATTAAATGCAAATCCTAATGCCATCTCCTTTCAGTTGTACTTTCACAGGACTAGTGTGATTCAGAAATAAATAACATACATGAATAATAATAGAAATAATTTATGCAAGTGTAGAACAACTTGACATAGAAATTCCCCACCTTGTTAAGTGCTGATTCTAGGGGTAGTTGCTGCTATTCATCCCATGTACTAACTAATATATTTACTACTGGTCATAGTAAAACACATGAATACAAAATAAGCTAAGAACTGTAATAGTCACCGTTGTTGCAAACACAGGACCAAAATGAGAAGCTATATAATGTACTTGGGGGGGGCGGTTCAAGAAATGTGTTACTGCTGGGATCTACTTTCATTATTCGGAGACTTTAAGGTTAAAGTAGGAGTTGCTGGTGATCACAGAAGTATTGCTAGCTAATACATATTATTGCATTTCAAAAAACTTAAGATTAGAAACTTTTAAGGTAAGGGTTCAGTGGGTAACTTCAGGACTGTAACCTATGCATGTCAACGGAATCTGGCCAGAAACTACAGAGCGTTAGAAATTAAGTAACTGTGTGGCTCTATGCTTGCCCTTTAGTGCTACAGTCATAGTTCTTTGTTGCAATATGTAGTTATGTGCCCCCTTTATGAAGGAAACCTAGATTTGACAATCCAAACTCCTAAAGTAGAGAAGGAGTTGATTATTTGCTTGATGAAACAATTCACACAAAAGGTCCTCTAAACAGGAAAATCCCCTACTATGTGAGATAATTGGCTTACATACCTTTAACTATTTGACAAAGAAAAAAGAGAAAGAAGAAAGTAGAAACTAGAAAGTTAGGAGCTTTCGCCTAGGCAGAAAATAAATTTTCAAAACAAAACTTTTCCACGCACATCTTTTGCCATCATATATGCAGAATGATAGAAAATAAAAAAATAAACAATCTTTCCTGTAATTATACATCTTCTCTTAAAAAAAAAAAAAAAAGCTGAGCTTAGAGCTTGAGAGATGCCTGGTAGACGCTTCACACAGAGCAGCATCTCTTTATACCCGAACTTTCAAAGAACTGTGTTGTACTTATTTACGCACAGAAGACACCCGTTTTGCTTCTAGGGACATGTCACTTCCTAAGACTGCAGAACAGATGCCTCTGAGACAGCAGCAGGGCACATGGACCTCGGACAGCATCCCGCCGGGTCTGTACTACGTTTCAGGCACCACCAGGTGAGCGGCGGGCGGGTCTCAGCCAGCTCCGCCCACTGCCACTCTACTGCCAAAGGGCCGGCGCACCCAGAAGGTTTTCAGGTGGGCGTCAGGTGTTGGCCACGAGCAAATAGAGTTCAGACTGGCCCAACTGATAACAAACTCGAGGTCTGAATCGGCCTTCCATTTAGGGGCTTAAATTAGAATCAGCTTCGGTGGGGTTTTAAGCAGAGGGATGAGGCCGACGAGTCCCCAGAGAGCTTTGGCCAGCCCCTAGTGTGTACGGTATTTTGATTCAGAATGAATTCGTGAGACTTGCCTGTCGGCTACTCTGCAGGGAAGTTAAGCAGGCACTATCGAGTTTCTGCCACTCCGAAGGAATGAACGGCCTTCTGTTACGCCGTGTTAAGGAAACTCTGAAAAGTACTATCATTGCCTTCCTCCTAAATTTCTGTAACACTTACTGAGGAAAAGGACTTCTAAAATTAACTAAAACCATCTGGGGGATGATCAGTCTCTGAGCAGACCTGTGAATTAAAATGTAGGAGTGTATGGATCTATATATATATAGAGAGAGAGAGTCAAAGAACTTCCCAAGTGGAGAAATGAAAGATTTATGTAAATATACTCCTAAATTATCATGCTCACATGCTTGGACAGGATTTTTAAAAATTAGCATTTCTTGTGAATTTACACTTGTGATTACACAGATGTAAAACATGACCAGGTCTTTTGGTATTTAAGGGCTCTGTTTCAGCATGGCATTTCTTCAGAAAAAAAAAACAACAAAACAACCAGTTTTGCCTACTTAAATACCAATGTTCCTTATTTTACTCATCTGATTTTTAAATGAGGATTTAAGATTTTAGTCAATGTCTAAAGACCATCATGGTAGGAAATGTGAAAACAGCAGACGGGGGTATAGGTATTTTGGCTGAGGCCACTGGAGGTTTTATACTCCTAACAAAACTACCCTAGTCACAGATGAGTGCTGCCTTTTAACTAGTAAGCCCGTCCATCTTTGTAACTTCTGCACCTAGGAGAGTGAGGTAATTAGGTACCTCAAAAAAAGAAAAAAAAAAAAAAAAGGCTTCTTGAAACCTATGTCTTGGCTCTCTTTATGCACTTAAATGATCAAAATGAGTGTGCTATCCATTCTCAAGAACAACTCACTTGCAGACAATTATTCAGAGAACAACTAGAATACCCAGGTTACAGAGTGTTAGGAAGACTCTTAATCATCCCAACAAACAAGTGCTAAGCAAGAGTAAAATATGTGCAGAAAAATAAAGTTAGAATGAAGTCTTGAGAAGTACCTCTTTAGCGTTGCTCAGACTTTTTTCTCCCCTCTGAGAGCACCACCTTGTGGAATACACTGGAATAAAACAAGAAAGCCCATGTCTTCGAGGACAGTGTGAAATTTAAAACCGACATCTGCAAGAAAAGTCGTTTCCCTTCCCTACCATATAACCTTCAACCTGCTGTATTAATATTTATGTAGATGCTTGAAAAAAAGCCTGTATTAATTTTCAAGAGGCTCCTGTTTTCTTCTTGAAGGCCAGAGCACCAGTATCAGGGAAACACACATAGGTCGATGGAAGTTCATGCATTTATCTAAACTCCCTGGGAATGCTAAGAAATAGAAAACATTTTGAAAAGCTGATTCATACTTCATTAAAACAAACAAACAAACAAACAAACAGTTAATTGAAGAAAAAAACCCACACAGTTAAAAATCAGACCCCTTCTCTTTTACCTTCCTGTTGTATATAAACATCAGAAGATAGAAAAGGCCAAAGGAATATTCTGGTTTATTTTCTGAAAAAGTACAAGTTAGAAATGCTTGAGATATAGGTATGTAACACAACTGCGTTGCAAACTGCATTGGTAAGAAATGAAAATGCTATTTTCTTGTGCTTTTGAGGAAAACAAATGATCTGGGGGCTCACATTGCCGGACAGGCTTTTGGTAGCCTCAAGCTTTCCCACGGTGGGGAAGGAGCACGTAGCTATGTTTCTAATCATACATCTGAATGTACTGGATGCACATGATTTGGGCTTCACAATTTTTCAAAAAATCCTGGTGGCACAGGAAATCTGTGCCGTTTTAAAATTTAATAAGTATATATATATATATATATATACTTTTACAGTGACCATTCTTAGACTTGTGTAAAGACGGTAGCTTCACGTTGCTGCTTCCTCCCATGAAATAAGGAGTACGGATGATTGAGTTTGTGAAGGCCGACATCTGAAATGGCAACTGCTTGGAACAGCTTTTCCATAAAAACATGTTTTTGAACGTATCAACTTCATAGTTGCCAGGTGACTTTAATATAAATTCTTACAATATATTTGTTAACATCCATCCTTCAGAATATATCTAACTTTGAAACTATCCTTCTTTGAATACCTTCGTTTTCTCCTGAATTTCCTCTATCCATTGTCCACTGTTTTAGGACTTTAAAAGATTTGGAAATCACATCACATCCTTATTTTTACAAAATAGAGACAGTGCTTTTATGTGTCACAATGTAAAACATGCATTCTCCTGAATTCTATCAATACCTAAGAATTTATAATGTCTCAACATTTTCTTTCCAAGGTAAATATTCTATAGTTTCTGTACTAACACAATTAAGTAATTACAGTGGCTTATTAACTTTTAATATTACTCTTTCCTAGACCCAACGATGCAACAAAAGACTGCTTTTGGAAAATGTGAGACATTCTCTTGTGTGCTTATCATAAAAATTGTCCAGTTGTCATTTAAAAGAAGCAATTCTCTGAAGAGAAGAATTTTAATATGTTTACATTAGAAGCTTACATGATTTTAATTTCTATAAAGGAATGAGGATTGCCATTACCGACTTTAATAGGCACCGCTTTTAAGAGAAGCAGCGGTAGCTAAAGCTCAACTGCAATACATAATTTAAGGTTCAAAATATTTGGTACTATTTAGGCTTTTTTTCATCAAGATGGATAGTACCACATTCTGGAGTCAAACGATAAAATCTTTAGTAAGGGGTACAAATCTTCTTTAAGATAGCCCGTGCATTCTGAAATTTTCATTTTTACTTACAAGTAAAGGCTGAGATTCTAGTCTTAGGTAAATATTTTGAACTATTTTTAGTAAGACACCTTGGGCTAAATGAAGAGTGTGCCATTCCTACTGTATGAGTCCTGAGAGAAAATCATGAGAATACAGAGGGATGAAAAGGCTTGGAGCTCTTGTCCAAAACAGGTTCTTTGCTTCTTGGGTTCCTATCCACTTTAAAGGAGAGACAAAGTGGGAGGCGCCAAGGCACTGGGTTCTTAAAAGCTCTTGGAAATTGTGTTTTTAAGGTTATCACATTAGGGCCTTATTACCTTTGCCCCATGATAGCTTATGATGCTGAAATGGACAGGTGTCTGGGATTGTTACCACTCCAGCCTGCACAACCGTTCCCACATTGCCTGGGCCCCCAGAACAACTGCCACGTAGAAACTATCAGGCACATGCCAGCCCCAGTCCTCGGTAGGAGACTCAAATGGGATTTTCAATCTGACCCCAGATTTTTACTGCTATAAGCGGCTTCAGTATAACCCTGGGGGCGTATGACCTTTGCAGCTAACCACGCCTTCGCTTTTGGCAAAGACGTTTGAAACCGTCTGTCACAGAAGCATAAGCTGTATTCAGTGAATTGCTATGCTGCTATATGCTTCCCAGTGCCCCAGTGGCAAGGATGCTGGTGTGGGATCTGGATTTCAGAACTGGTGCGCCCGGATAGAAAAGCCATAAAACAAGAGGGTAACCACTCAACTACAAGAACTACAGATGGGCGCGCTGGGGTCAGACTCAAGTTCAGAGAGGCCGAGGTGCCCCCTCCTTCTGCCTCTCCAAGGATAATCTGCCAAGTATCCAATGCGGAAATGTTTGTGCTTTAAGTTTTCTTCATAAACACTACCGAGAAATGACCCAAAAGTATATGCTAGAAATAAAGTGAAGCTCTCTACTTGTTTAAAATTCTCAAGAATGCTGAAAAATTCCAGTTTAGAACAGCTGCATTTTTCTTGGGAGAACTTGTGAAAAACTTAAAAAAGCAGAAACTCAAGTTATGTCCACTCTAACCAAAAAGCACATGACGAATCAGGGCAGTAAGTTTTAAAATTCAATTTCTAGGCCCCAGCAAAAACGTCTTTGTATTTTGACCCCCGATCAAAGGAAAGGCAGAACTCACTGTTCCAGGGGAGACATCGCCCCGAATTCTCTGGATCCATTATATCTCAAGCATTTACAGTGATGACGAAACATAATCAATGCTGTCAACAATGAAGAAAGTGTAGAACATTCTTATGGCCCATCTTCTCATTCGTATCCTGCTCTTCAAGTTACCGAGTTAGAAAAATGTTAAACAACATTATGTATTAAAAAAGAGTAATTCCCACCCCAAAAAACTTTCAAGGAGAAAGGTCTCCTAATTTTACTCTTGTTCAAGATGGTAGTATAAGAAATATTGAGCTGTGAAGAATTCAGGAAGGCCTGACAATATATAAACATCATGTGGAACATTTTCTACTGAGGGAAGCAATGTTCATTCTTTGAAAACCCTAACTCTAAACGCGGTCTAACTGTTGCATGCACTCAAAACATGAGTCAGAAAGCAAAGATAGCTAAACTTCCAAAAAGGTACTTAATCACTGTGTCTTTCAGCACTAACCACATAGAAGGCAGAGAGGACATTGGAATATAAGGAACAGTAGAGAAAACGGCAAGAGAAAAAAAATAAAGCTGTTCACAATGCCCAGGGCAGGCTGGCTCTGCAGAGAGAGGAGTATGCACAAGGCACTAGAAACAAGCACAGCCTGGAGGATGGAGAAAAGATCATTTTATACAGTAAATATATATTTCTAAAAAATAGTTAAAGACATTCCCCTCTGATTCTACACTGACAATATATTCTAAAAAAAATCGTAGAACACTAAGTAACAGTTTAAAGCAATCTATGTGCTGGTGATAGAGAAGAACCGTCCTCTATTCACTGCCTAGGTAACAACAATGAATGCCAGGTAGGAAGATCGCATCAGAGCAAGAACATACGGGGGGGGGGGGGGGAGTGACCCCGTTAGGATAGCGAAATCGGAGCCATAAACCACAACCTGAATCTTAACTATTTACAAAAGGTTCATTGAAAGCAAGCAAGCAGGAGGTGCATGGGAAAAGCTTAAGCAATCTGTTATTAGTTATGTAAAGGCAGTAATATATATTAGAGGCCCTGGGGGATAGATAAGATGGATACTTTGCAAACAAGGCAGTGCATGGTAGAAAAAGTACAGTGTAATAGGGAAAACTTAAATGGTATTCCTGTCTCTTGTCAGAGAGAACTACTCTCCACACTAAAACAGGAAACAGTTTCTGACAAATTCCTAAAATCAAAAACAAAACAAAGTAACAACAAAACCCAAAAAGGAAATAGATTTCAAATCAGGAAATAAAGGCCTTCTCTAATTTTTTTTTGACAATTTTACCTATTTGAGGTACACTCCCTAAATCTATAGCAAGTAAGAAAAAGCTTAAAGGGTATTTTTCAAAAGAAACAATAAAGCATATAATACAGGTTAAAATGGACTTATATTGAGTAAATTCAGCTTTTTGAAGAGTAAATAGAATGTATGCTTTAAAAAACAGGTCTCTTAAAAGATACTAGCATTTTTTCCCTTTTGTTGTGTGTATAAAACGTCATCTAGATAGTGAACCTTTTACTGCTAGCAAATTTACTGCTTTTGGCCATGAAATTCTGAGGACATAGGCTTAACTTTCTAATTTGAGAAGCCCATTCTGGTAAATCACCTTTAGTCAACAGACACCTGTTATTTATAGGTCACTTTGAGTCTTTAAAATTCAATTATTCTTGTTGTTTACAGAAAGTAACACTTTAAGAGAACAAGAATCTCACACACACACACACACACACACACACACACACACACACACACTCGCATTCTCACTCAAAAGTACCGAATCAGGCTTGGGCAGCTGCAGGGAGATTACATCATAACTCAGCTGTGCCTGGATTGCTCACTTCACACTGGCAGCATTCAAGGTTAGAAAAACGAAATGGCAGCACAATTTGTCAGCAGCTTCTCTTCTTCTGGAATCTTTCCAGGTTCTTGAAACAAACAAACAGACAGACAAACAAACGAACGAACATAAAGCTGCAAACATTCTTGCATTGATTTCAAAACAGTACACGAGGTGGTTTCCATGGAGAAGCAGAGCCCGTCCAGAAGACGGCAACTAGAAGATCCCCAGCCAGTGATCCTCAGCACCTCTGCTGGGGCTTACTCAGGGTGTGGGGGGGCCATCAGCCCCCAAGGGTGTTCTCGGGGTGATCAGCTCAAGGCAGCGGCCGGCACCTCAGGCTGTATTCATCTCTGAGCTGTTCTGGCTGGGAGGCAGATGGGCATCCAGGTTCTCCTTGCACCTCTCCAGGTCATGGAAGTATGGGTGAGACAGGGCACTGTAGGCGGATATCCTTTTGGCTGGATTAAATGTTAAGCACTTCTGTGATGAAGAAAAAAAATCATTGATTGACGTAAAACATGTCCATTTAAAATAATCTGCTTACACAGTTACACATTTATTCACCACCATCAATTAAGTGTGTCTAGAAAGAGAATGAATATCTACTTCAAGGGGCACTACGGGGAGCCTGGGTGGCTCAGGCGGTTGAGCGGCCACCTCTTGGTTTCAGCTTAGGTCATGATCTCACGGTGATGAGATGGAGCCCTGCGTGGGGCTCCACGCTCAGCGGGGAGTCTGACTGTTTGAGAGTCTCTCTCTCCCTCCTCCTGCTCATGCTCTCTCTCTTTCTCAAATAAATAAGGGGCGCCTGGGTGGCTCAGTCAGTTAAGCATCTGCCTTTGGCTCAGGTCATGATGTCAGGGTCCTGGGATGGGATCAAGCCCTGCGTCGGGCTCTCCGCTCACTGGCAAGTCTGCTTCTCCCTCTCCCTCTCTGATCTCTCTTGCTTTTGCACTCTCTCAGATAAATAAAATCTTTAAAAAAATAAAAAAATAGGGGCGCCTGGGTGGCTCAGTCGTTGGGCGTCTGCCTTTGGCTCAGGTCGTGATCCTGGGGTCCTGGGATCGAGCCCCGCATCGGGCTCCCTGCTCCACAGGAGGCCTGCTTCTCCCTCTCCCATTCCCCCTGCTTGTGTTCCCTCTCTCGCTATGTCTCTCTCTGTGTCAAATAAATAAATAAAATCTTAAAAAAAAAAAAAAGTAAATCTTTAAAAAAAGGGAACTAAACAAAATGTAGACATAGCCATCTTATATATGGGCTCAATGTATAAACTGCCCTTCAGGAAAACGCAACAGCTTTTGGGTTGCCTGTGGACTGTTACCTCCCCAGGCCTTCTCTTCAACCCACCCCACATCCTTTAAAAGATATTATTATTACTGTAGTATGTATACAACTTTATTTAGATAGTGATTTTTCTAATGCCAGCCAACGTAGTCCTATCGTCAGCGACATCACCCGAACTTTTTACCCTACCCCAAGGTTTACTTACTGATGAGTCAGGAATGGAAGGGGGTTACCTTGTTCAGGGGTAAAAGGCTAATTACTAAATGATAGTAACAGTTTCTGACATATTTCTAAAATCAAGACCAAACCAAAACAACAACAAAAGGAACAAGAAAGGAAACACATTTTAAACCAGGAAGTAAGTTTTCCTTATTAAGGAAGGGGCAAGTAAGGGCTAACACCTAGGCCCACCTTATGCAGATCACCAGCCAGCTGTGGACTCTGCCCCAGGGCTGAACCATCCTCTAGGTTCAGTTCTGGTACCAAACTCTATTCCAGGCTGACAACTCCAGTGCAGGCAGAAGGTGAAAGGCGGGGAAGGTAAACCTCTGGAGCTGCAATTTCCGTTCCCAAACTAGCGGATTCATCATCAAGTAGGCAGAACGCTTCCCTAACCTCAGTTCCATTTCCAGTCCAACCCCAGGTGATCCTGTTCTTCAAATCCTCCTCCTGTCCTTTCACCAACACCTCCAGAGTGCCTAGCAGGTGGCCAGCACTAGTGAAGGATGAGGAAGACCCGCCCATTGCCCAGCGACACACAAGCAGCAGAGAAGCTCCACCAGCTTCCCCATCCGTGTGATGCAGCGCCCACTGAAGTGAGCTGGGCACCCGAAATGTCTATCAATTTCAGTCCCCTCTGTACATTATCATGGTTATGCTGACCTCTTCCATGTAACCTGGGTTTTTGCCCTCAAGGAGCTCAGAGTCTCAGTCAGGTCCTGACTAGATTAGGACCCTCTCTAACACTCTATGGAACACTACTCACCTGGAAAATTCTATATATAATTCCAGGCAAATTTTTGGGTCCCCTGAAATCTTATTTATGCTGAGCTCCCCACCAAGTCCATGGAGGCCGGTTTCTCATAATGTGTCCTGAAAACCAAAGAGCCAAAGGGCAAGCAGAGGGAGAGCTTGTTGGTAGAATGGTCCTACTGTCTCTAATACCAATAAACATCTTAAGAGAAGTTTTGCATGGGCTGAATTCCCTCAGGACAGAAGAGTAGGAGCAAAATCGTTGAGCCTGAGGTCCCTCTTCCCCAGAGTCCAGGAAGGAGAAAATTAGGTAGTGACATTAGAAAAGGAAGCAGCTGGTTTAATCCCCGGGACATAGGAACGAAGAAAAAAAAAGCTGTGGGAATATGTTCAAGATAGAGAGACATGTCCCTAGAGGACTGTGTGGGAGGAAGCCCATCCTCACAGCTATCCTGATGGCTTAGAGCTGGGAAGAGGGTGGAGAGAAGGAGAACTCCTTAGCCTAACGTGGAAGTGTGTGAGAATCTCAAGTTCGAAGTCTTTTTTTTAAAGATTTTATTTATTTGAGACAGAGAGAGAGAGGGAGAGAGAGAGTACACCAGCGGGGGAGGGACAAAAGGGGAGGGAGAAGCAGAATCCCTGCCGAGCAGGGAGCCCGATGCCGGGCTCGATCCCAGGACCCTGGGATCACGACTTGAGCCCAAGGCAGACGCTTAACGACTGAGACACCCAGGCGCCCCAAGATGGAAGTCTTAATACTTTATGTGCTTCAGAAACATTGTTAGACATGGTGGCTAAGTTCTATCACTGCTCTACTTCAACAGGGCAACGGGATGACTTGAGAATTAATTCAAAATCTTGTGTAAGAATATTGTTTCTCCAAGAAAATCTAATTTACTTGCCAAATAACTGACTGATAAAATGGACTTTTGGAACTGTTATTTAGTCAAGAGTTGAATACTATGACGGATTGGATCATTTTCCAGCACATATCCTCCTCCTTCCCACTCCTCCCTTCACGGGAGTATTCTTTCCTCTATTGGAGTTGGCCTTGGCCATGTAACTTACTTTGGCCAAAGGAATGTGGACAGAAGCAGCAGGGTGCCTCTCCCAAGCCTAGGCCATTGGGGCCATCATGTGTTTCTGCTTGCCCTTCTGGGAGCATCCACCTTCTATTATGAGAAAAACCTGCCCCAGGGAGCCAAAGCCCCTCTTACTCTGGGTCCTGGAATGAAGCATATGGAGAACACTTGTCCTTGACCCACAGGCTGCAGCATAGCTGTCTCTGCCAATCTGCAGACCCATAAGCAAGAAACAAATGCTTACTGCTGTATTCTAGGGAGATTTTTGGGTTGTGTGTTATGTGGCAAAAGTAGACTAATCCAAGGAATACCCCCCTCCCCCAATATGTGCCTTAAGGCTCTGAAAACAGCAGAAACTCTAAAACTTTTTTCAGCAAGAGCATGATATTTGGAATAAGTACTCAGCCTCTCAAGTTAACCACGACAAAGGGGACAAAACGTGTAAAGATGGGTAGGTTTTGGATGTTAAAAAGTCTTCCCCCAGGGCGCCTGGGTGGCTCAGTTGTTGGGTGTCTGCCTTCGGCTCAGGTCATGATCTCAGGGTCCTGGGATCGAGTCCCACATCGGGCTCCCTGCTTCTCCCTCTCCCACTCCCCCTACTTGTGTTCCTGTTCTTGCTGTCTCTCTCTGTCATATAAATAAATAAAATCTTAAAAAAAAAAAAAAAGTCTTCCCCCTGAATGGTCTTATTACTGTGCATTACTTATGTGTGTATGTAAGAACATTTATATATGCCAACGTATACATCCATCCATCCATAGCTGAGACATGATAGCGTCAGCCTTGTTTTCAGATAAAACAAAGGACGATTCTTAAAGTGCTAAAACTGAAATGTTGTTTCTTAAAGGAAACAACTTCCTAAATACCTTTCCCTTTTCACCCTCACTAAATCATTTTGAGTAGAGGCAACAAATACTGCTGGGATCTCAGCTGCTCCTCTGGTACCAAATGGCTCTCTTTCTTCTGCTCGACAGTTCTGCCCCGTGTCCCTCTAGCAGGAAACAGGGAGAACTTTCAGGGGTTTCTGAGCTTTGCGGTCCTGGTCTGTCCTTTCCCGGAACGCCCATGGATTATTACGTTTTGTCCTTAAGTTTCTTCTAGTCCTGACGTCACTGGGACTGCCTCTTATTCTTTTCCTTTGCTTTTTCTCATCCCTGCTGACACTCATCGTCTACCCTCTTCCTTCTCTCTCTGGTAGTTTCTTTGTTCCTATTTCTTCTCTGTCTCCTACTGCTTCTCTAGTCCAGCACTAGTGTGTGGTCTGACTTGGAAAGCCGCCCCCTTCTAGTGGGAGACACTGAATGAGCATGCGGCATCATCTGCTATCTTAACATTTTGAGTTCCTCCTGGTGATTCCTACTGATGTTGGAGCTAGGAGATACTTTGAGCTGTCTTTGGGTGTCCCAGTAGCTGAAGGAGTGGGATGCTTCACAACTAAAATTGACTATCACTGTGATTCTGGGTCCAGAATCTTCTTCTAAGAGGAGCATTCCATTCAAAGTTCTTGCTGAAAAGGAAAGCCGATGGTGGCCATATTTTATAACACATCGTCCCTCCCTGCTCCCAGCACAGCTGACTGGACCCAGAATGGTGACCTGGCCCTCGGCAGCAACTCCTATCATGGCTTGGCAAAAAGGTGAGGTGTGTCAGCCACATTCTTCCTTTTAGGAATCTGACGTAGGAAATACTAACAGAGCAAATGTGAGCAGTGGGGGTTAGAGCTGAAAGGATCCAGGAGTTGGCCGAAGTTCTGAGAGTCAAGGGGCCAGCCGCAGTTAAGGGCAGCAGACAGTACTACCGAAAAGAGGCACTGAAGGGGAGAAAAAGGCCTGCAGAGCAGAGACAAGCAGATGGTGATGCTCTTAGCAGGACCGAGAGAGCATTTACACTCTGGATGGCTTTTCACTGCCGGGCCCATGAAACGTTCCATCAAACCCCTTTTTCTTAAGGTAATCCAAGTACTTGTCTGTTATATGAAACCCAGGAAAAATTTTCCTAAATAGTAGGTGAGCCAGCAAGTGTGTATATATAGTGAGCCTCTCTATAGGACACTATATTCTCCCTTCTAATAACAATGTATTTCAAAGGATGTGAGCCAAAAGTCCTTAGTGAGTGTCTTAGAAATGAACAGTGGGGAGGGAATATAGCTGTCCTTCTCTGTAATGTGGCAGGGGAGGGAATCTTTGAGTAAGCCAGAAAATGAGACACCATCAGGTGAAGATGGAATTAGGGCTTTCATTGGGAGACTCATGGCTCTGCGAACATGCCAATCAATGGCTGTGTCCACACAGAGCTAAAGTAGAACATTTCTACTAAAGCCTACAGACTCTTAGGTCTATATCGGAAATTTAGAATACATTGACAGAACGGGAGCACTAGCGTGTCCACGTCTAGGAGCACCTACTTGGTGAGATATCAAAGGTTGTTAGTCAGTAGGTAAAGGATACACTTATTATTCATTGAGTTCTGAACACCAAGAGTAGCTCAACAGGTCAACTCTTTTATTTTTCTGTCCACCAAGAGTAGGGAAGGATGTATAAGGCCAAGCGTTACGAGTCTGAATCTCAAACAGAACACAAGTCCTTATTTTCAGTGAGGTATTTTCTATGTGCATGCCACCTTGACTACTCATTGGAAGCATATGTCTAGATGAATCGAGAGGCTTCTGCGGCTGCATTCAAATGAACATTTAAAGATGGCAGACTGAAAGTGTGTGGGTCAGACTCTCTTTCTGTAGGAAACGAAGACATTCCAGAATCAAAAGCCACCAGCTGCGGCAGGTGTGGAAATGAAAGCTGCAGAGAGGTTGTGGCCTCTTGCTCTGCGTGGCTGTGGTCCATGATGCTGAACTGATGCTGTGCCCACCCCCAGGAGTCCACCCAGTGGACAGGTCGCGTCTCTCATCAGCACCGCACAAGACCAACTCTGCACCACAGCACTTACCAGAAGTAGGTCTTTGCCTTGTTCATCAATATCTGTTACAAACTTCTCAATCGGTTGAGGAGATTTTGAGTGAAAAGCCTGCCTGGGAAGGGCGACATCTCGAGGCCAGTCCTCTTCTCCTGGGAGTCCAATGACGCTACAAAAGAACCATGTGTGAACATAAGCATCATTAGCTGCTATGCTGAAGCTGTTTTCCCACAAAGTCCAGATGATGGTAAAATCTGAGAGGCAGGCGTGGGGGACACAGAGCCCAGGGGGCCCCTCACTTATATTACTGGCAGGTCTCTCATCTCTGTCCTACTGCAGTATGATGACCACAGGGTAGAGGGCGATCTCCCAGGAGAATTGTAAAATTCACTGGGAAGAGATAAGAGATTCCTCTAGTAGCAGATACTAAATGTATGAGATGATGCAGAAATAGAAAATAGTATATTACCAGTAAGTCCTGACATACTGACAGAGTAGGAGGCCCACATGGGCATATATTTTCCTTTATGCCCAAGAGTGCTTTTTGGGTTCTGATCCAACACTCTCATATTGCCATGCTTTTGTAATGCTCATCTAACACGATTCATTAACACATAAATTTGGTTGCACTTTTGGTTAAAGAATAATTCCCCAAACGGTAATTACATACGTTAGAATCAGGCCAAAAAGAGGCTAAAAGATATGCTAATCCTGTGCTAGGCAAACACTATTTTATAATTTAATTTCAAATTAAATTCATTAAGTTAAATATAGCTGATATATATTTTTGTATTACAAAACTAATTTTTTTTATTTTAAAAGATTTGATTTATTTACTATTTATTTATTTTAGAGAGAGAGAGCGAGCAAGTAGGGGCAGGAGCACAGGGAGAGAGATAAGCAGACTCCAGGCTGAGCACAGAGCCTGACGCAGGACTCGATTTCACAACCCTGAGATCATGACCTGAGCCAAAATCAATAGCCGGACGGTCAACCGACTGAGCCACCCAGGCGCCCCTACGAAACTATTTTATAGTATTCCAAAGTGAGCAAACAATAAATAAAGACAGTGCCATTTATGCTTCCCCTGAAAATTATTCTGGGATCAGAAAAACGTGGAGAAAGGATCAAGTGATAGAGAAACAACACAGGCATTGTATGTCAACTATATTCAAATACAAAAAATAAATTAACAAAATAGCGTAGACTTTGGAAAAGGCAGACCTGGGTTCAGATTCTACACCTACAACTTATTGGTAGGTAAGGACAAACTACTTAACTTCTGTGAGCCTCAGTGTCTTTACTTATTAACAATCATAATTCACAGTGAGAATTTATATAAAGTGCATAGCACAGTGCCTGACACACAGTACTTGTTAGTATTAATACATTACCCATTATTAGTATTATTATTTTAAAGATTTTTATTTATTTATTGAGACACAGAGAGAGCACAAGATGGGGGGAGAGGCGGAGGGAGGAGAAGCAGACTCCCCTGATGAGCAGGGAGCCTGACATGGGGCCAGATCCCAGGACCCTGAGATCATGCCCTGAGCTGAAGGCAGATGCCCAACCAACTGAGCCACTCAGGAGCCCCACCCATTATTATTACTATTATAAGAGGAAAATAATGTTATTAATCTAAAATGCATAGGCAATGCATCACTACTACACCAAAAATATGAACCGCTTGAGTCCTATTGATGTGTGACTTGAGGTTCTTCAGAAATATTAATAGGTCAGTGGCTTTACATAACTTATTTACTTATTTGAAAGAGAGAGAGAGCTCACACACATGAGGTGGGGGGGGGGGGGCGGCAGTGGAGTCAAGAAGACCCCACGCTCAGCAGGGAGCCTGACGGGAGGCCAAGCCCACGACCTCAAGATCACGACCCAGTGGAAACCGAGAGTGGTATGCCCAATGGACTGAGCCACCCACGCACCCCTACAATATGGAGGTATTATTTAAAGTTTATGTATACAGGGGCACCTGGGTGACTCGGTTGAGCGTCTGCTTTCGACTTAGGTCATGATCTCAGGGTCCTGGGATCCAGCCCTGCATCGGGCTCCCCGCTCAGTGGCGAGTCTGCTTCTCCCTCTCCCCTCTGTGATCTCTCTCACTTTCACTCTCTCTCAAATAAATAAATAAAATCTTAAAAAAAATAAAGTTTATATAGAGAGAGTAGGTAGGTTTGAACAAGGGAAATCAGGGGATGCAAGAACTTATATCTCACTTATAGGCTCTGATTAACTCCAAACTAAAAAGTTATAATGTAGTGGACAGAACATATGGCTATTCAAATTTACCAAACTTTTTTTTTAAAAGATTTTATTTTTAAGTAATCTCTACACCCAACGTGGGGCTTGAACTCACAACCCTGAGATCAAGAGTTGCATGCTCTACCAACTGAGCCAGACAGGCACCCCCTGACCCAATTATTTTAACTACAGATAGCAATGGTGCTGGCCTGTGTTAGAGTCTTCTCCTTGGCCTGCGCTCACTGGGACACAGGTTGAGAAAATGTGTTCTCCTGAATGGATTTCCAGGTTTCAGGAAGATATGGTGGTGAACGTCACAGGCTCCCTCTGTAAGGCTTTCTTCCCCCTTTTATTCCCTCAACAGAGCCCAGGTCACAGACCTCACCTGGGGAGAGCAGACACCTGTATCATGATTGCACCTGTCACTGGTGTCCGGGAAAAGACCCTGTAGTCCTACCTCTGTTGGACATGCTGGGCGAGCCACGTTGTTGAGGCAAATAAAGAGAGACTCATGGACATATTTACCAGAACAAGGGAATGGAAATGCAGCTTGGGCAATACACAAATTTACTTAATAATGAGATCTAGAGTAAGAGTAGAAAAAAAAATACCACTATTAATTATTAAAGGACATAAATGTGTATGCTTGGAAAGAGTGGGATAGGCAAAGAAAGAAAAAGAGAACGCTTATGAAAGAACTTTAACAATTTCCTTCATTTTTATTTTTTAGCCATTTTTATATCTTTTTTTGGCATATCATCGCCAGTCATCTAGAAATCAATTATAAAAATTCTTAGCAATAATTTAAAATCTTTAAAAAAATCTTTTTATTTGCAGCTCTGAATATATTTATATTGAAATAAATCTGGTGATATGGGTAGCTGAGTGCCAAAAGCAAAAAAGAGTCTCTGTGTGTACATGTGTGGTGCATAATTATATATCTGTGTACATAGCTATCTATATAAATAACTTTCAAAAGTATTTTTAAATCTACCCCCTCCTCTGATCCCCTAACGACCTCCTGAGACATGCAGGTCAGTTATTACTTCCTTTTTATAGATGTGGAAACAAAGGGATGAGGAGTGAAATCAGCTGCCAAAGTCACACACAGTAAGTTCAGCCACAGAGCGGGAGCGAACCCAGCTCTCCTTATTCCAAATCCAATATTTTGTTTCCATTTAACTATGACTCTGCTCCAAAAAATGCTCTAAAATGTCACGAGCTAAAAGCATTCAGTTTCACTTTCAAAGTACTTGCTGTTCTTTGAAAGTATAAATCTTTCTAAATGCAGAAACAGTTCTCCCCCGTAAGAGAATGTGAATGTGGCTTTCCTTAAAAAAAGAAAAAAAAGAATCCCCTTAATATCCAGTAGGAACTTTTATGGCCCATATACAAACGTTGTGAAACTCTGACAGGTCCATTAAAAAGTGCTTGCATCAAGTTTCAGTATTTGGACAGCTGAACATAAGCCTTAAAAGTTGACATTTGTACCGTAAAGACTGACAGCACAAAATCTATAAATGGCAGAGGGAACAGAAATCATTTTTCAAGTACTTTAGAAATGACAGTAGGGTGCAGCATTGTCCCTTTTCTTTATGCCAAAGGAACCAAGGCAGAGTAAACAGGACATAATTTCAGCGAAACAAGGCCAGAAACCAAGAAGTAAATGCTAAAAGGCCTAAGACCTATAGAACTTTATGGCTTCTTTTCTGCTGGCAACCTAGGGTCTCAGGCCTTTGCCAAAAGTGGAACTGGCTCTCCCTTGGGCACAAGTCAAACTTGTTTGTCAGAGGTTCTCTCGGGTCCAACTCCCTGGCTTCCGATACAAAGGGGCACTAACAAGGCTAACAAGTTCGCAGGCCCCAGGGCTGGAGCTGGCCAGAACGCCCAGGTGATGTCAGTAAGGGACAGGTGGTGATGGGTTGAACGTCTGGCAAGCTGGCTTCTGTCAAGATCACTTTTCCCTTTAACAGAGTCACTGGTGCGTCTGACTTTCCTAGTTCCTGCTTCAAGTTCTCACCGCACACAAACCATATTCAACAGTGGTGGGGAAGAATAGATGGGGGTTCATCACCCTATGAGCAAAGACGAGTTGACATCCAGAAGCAGAGAGAACATGAGTTTGTCCTGAATCTGTCCATTTTATGGAGTGGCAGGAGGAGGAGCAATGGGAGTCTCGGCAGCTGCCCTGGACCTGGGAAGCCCTCACACAATAAAACCAGCAAATATTTTTCAGGCCTTAAAGCCACTGAGTTCTGATTCAGCAGGGCCGCCAGCATCATTAGAAATCTAGTGGAGCTTTCCAGTCACTAAGAGAACAAATTGAGGTTCCAGTTTTATACCAACTGTTTTAAGCAGTCATGCGTTAACATATAATTATTTTCTTTAGGGGTACTTTTCACCAGTTTTACGGACTGGAAATATCATAAAAATCACTGGGATTCCTATAAAATGTTACAGACCAATGATTGGGGCTGCTTTTGGTTCTAGAACTCCCACTTTTTTCGTACTTCACCCCAATTCTGAGGGGGCTTGGCAAAGGCACCTATCCCAAAAGGATGCCATACTTCATGCTTTGTGAGAGGAAAGGCCCCTTCTTAACATTCTAGAAACACGAAAGCATACATACCCCCACAGTCACAAACATGTAGACATGAATGGAACTCTGCAAATCATCAACGAGCTAAGTAACAGACAATTAGAACCAAAGAATTTGAGCGCAAGAAAGGATCTTAGAATTTACGTCTTAAGTTTCAGTATTCAGGTGAAGAAGTTAAGGAACAAAAAGGTTAAACAATTAATGATGAATTATAATCATAGCTGCCATTTTAAAAGCATTCACTATGCACCAGTCACCGTGTATGCACTTTACAGGGCATTTTAAATAACTTTCTCAAGACTGCATAGAATTTAGCAACAGACATAGAGTTAGAACCTAGGATTCTCATTTCCTATTTTGGGACTCCAAAGAAAAATGGGTTGTGTAGCATACCATCCAAGACAAACCAAGGCAAAATCAATCTAGATGGCTCAATGGGGACAGGAAGCCCAGTGGGCAAGGATGGGTTACCAGGCAACCAAGCGCCCCACCACTGACGGTGGATCCATCTGAAATGGGCCCAAGCAGACAACACATCTAAACTCAAGAAATGGAGCTCAGCCAAGTGGAGAAGGAGGATCCTCGAAAAGATCCACGTGAGCAACATAGAAGCTTCCAGAGCAGACCAGTTAGGCCACACGTCATGATGGGCTCTGCATAAAACAGCATGTCTGCCGTGTCCCCACTCACCACACAAATAGTAACACTGACTGCGGCCGCAGCTTGGAGGAGGAAAGACAAGAGGTAAACATTTTATATGAGTGTCAGAGGAAAGGCACTGTAAATGTTTTCATGCTATGAACGCTGATGTAAAATTACAGTTACTACTTACTCCAAGATTTTTCCAAGCTGATCGACATCTGAACTTCCACGAAAAAGAGGCCTACAAGAATAAAGATACATATCAAACAGGGAATTTTCTCATTACATTTCAATCATATTGGTCATTACCACTGTTTACAGGAAACAAAACATTCTTTAAGGGTGAGGAAGGAGTAAAGAAGTGAGACATCTTTCCTTTGGTCAATGAAGGATTTTCTTGCATTTGACTTCGTGGTAAGGATCTCTCCTAAGTATCTGGGGTCCCTGACTCCCCTGTTTTATCACCGTGGGTATTCTATGCGCACTCACTGCAACAACAGTGCTACTGGGGACACACAGGCCCTGGTTTCAAAGTCCTACTCAACTTCCTGATAGGGGGGAAAACGTCACTGTTCTCGTCTGGACCGAGGGGTTCATGGGCTTCTTTGAAACTGTTCTTGGTCAGATTCTTCTCCGAGCACCCTTTCCTCACCTCTCTGCTATCACAGGACTTCCTCAGGGGGCTCTCTCTTTCCAAGGGTCCTGATGCTGCAGTGACATACGTCTGGACCCATTTTTTTGATTTTATCACTTTCCTTTCTCACAGCATTATGGTAGTTAGCCATCACTCCGGGCTTCAGAGGAACACACAGCCCTCAGTGTCTACACGGAGCATTTAACTGGCAATTAAATGAGCTCACTTGGTCACATTTCTGGCATTTTCCCAAGTAGGTCAATACCCCTAGAGGGCAATGACTTCTCTAGGTTTGCCCCTGATCTTTGGCCTAGTGCTTTACCTGAACAGGTGCTCAGTTAATAAATATTTTATTTAATATATTCCTATGGCACACATGGAAATGTTTCCTAACCCCTTGCTCAATGACTGACAGATATTTTTCAGCAATAACGGGCTTTAAAAAATATTTGTAGCCAGGGCGCCTGGGTGGCTCAGTTGGTTAAGCGACTGCCTTCGGCTCAGGTCATGATCCTGGAGTCCCAGGATCGAGTCCCGCATCGGGCTCCCTGCTCGGCAGGGAGTCTGCTTCTCCCTCTGACCCTCCTCCCTCTCGTGCTCTCTGTCTCTCATTCTCTCTGTCTCAAATAAAAAAATAAAATCTTAAAAAAAAAAAATTTGTAGCCTATTACCAGAGACCATATTTTTAAAATGTTATATATCAATTATAAATATAAATATTATATATCAATTTTAGAAAAGCCAAACAATGGAATCTTAACAGCTATTATTTCTAGAACAGTAATGTTGACTCTAATATAATACCATGTGCTCCCCAAACGTCTCATTTAATTATCACAAAAATTTCAGAAGCAAGGTAGTATTATTATCATCCCTATTTTCTGATGAGCAGCTAGGATTAGAGATGTTCTAGACTTACCTAAGGACAAATAACAAAATGCAGACTTTTATTAAAATTCAAACGAGGTCCACCTTGCCCCAAAACCTATCTGCTTCATTATTATATTGTAATACTTTTTATTTTGGTTACTAATGTTCTCCACACTCACAGTCCCTACAGTGAGCCTTTGGGGTGAAGTAGCACGGAGACTGTGTGAAGAGCACTTTAGAGAGAACCCAGTGTCTCACAAGCAGGTGCCTGTGGGATTCTGTACTCATTGCTCTGCAAATGTCCAGTGTCTTTAAATTCTTGCCCTCTTTTAACAAGGAACAAAGCAATTTACCAGACTGACTGAAGTTCTCTATTCTTTCCATATACTTCCTGTCTGATGGCCCTTCTAAATTTTTTTTAAGTTTTTTTTTTTTTTTTTAATTTTATTTTTAAAGACTCTCTATACCCAACACAGGGCTCGAACTTACAACCCTGAGGTCAAGAGTCACACGCTCTATTGACTGAGCCAGCTAGGCGCCCCTTAATTAGGTTTTTAATTTTAATTCCAGTGTAGTCGACATACAGTGTTAGGCCCTTCCAGATTTTTACGTTCTGCCCCCTGTGCAATCTTTTACAGCTGCTTTGCTCACATCTTAATTGATAGCACCATTTTTCTTTTCCTTTCCAAAGTGCAGAACTTGGACTGCACAGAAACAACAGTGCCCTTTCTTTTCACACTCCTGTTTCCTTAGTATTAAGGTATAAAATTACAAAACTAAGTATAACCAGCATTATGAGGTCTGGACAAACACAAACGACCCCTCTTTGCATAGTACGTATCTCAAATGGCTCGAGCACTGGGCATGCCAGGGAGCAGGTGCAGAGGGAACTGGGGGCACACCTTTAACTGATGAGCTGGTGAAGCGGCTTGGTAAACATGCCAAGCCCCTCACCCTGCATGAAGAAGACTGGTATGCACAGTGAAATTATCTTTGAGGATCATGGAGCAGCTTAAAAGAAACTGGCCATGGCTACTGGGAAGCAAACAAGGCAGACTACCTTGAGTGGACGTTGTTCCCAGGCAAAAGCACAAGCCCGTCTCTTTCCTGAGGTGGGTACTGAGACCCCGAAGCCCAGCTCCTGCAGCGCAAGGGCTCATGCCCTTACTGGTTTGGTTTTCGGCTCCCTTTTTGTTTTTCTCCCTTGGCAATACTGTAACATTTTTGCTAGCTCCACTGTGCATTTAAGTAAGTGCTTGCTCTATTTTACCTTACATTTGCTACATGTTTAGCAGAGTGCTTTCAAATCATGTAGTCCACCATACTGCCAGAGCCTGAAGTCTTGCCTCTCTTGGCTGGACTTGGCCCCACAGAATGAAATGTGCTTTACATCCTTGAGTTAGAATTGGCCCATTAGTTTGGCCTGCTTTAATGAGGGTAAGAAGCAGAAAGGTCTGAATCATAACCACTTCTCTGTGACCTGCTGTGGGGAATACTGGAAACTCGGAAGCAACTATTCAGTATATGGCTCAGAATGACTTTTGTCACGTAGGAAGGCCTGGCATGGGACTGTGAGGTCTACTAATTTGGTTTTAGGATGGATATGGATTGGCTTGAGTTATATAGAACCACTAAATCCTGACAGCATGCAATTAACTCCCATAAAATAGATCTTTGGGTGCAAAGACATCATCACAAGACAATGGCAATGAGTCACATGAAAGGGGGAACAGCGGGCGCCTGGGTGGCTCAGATGGTTAAGCGTCTGCCTTTGGCTCAGGTCATGATCCCAGAGTCCTGGGATCGAGTCCCGCATCGGGGTCCAGGCTCAGCGGGGAGCCTGCTTCTCCCTCTGACCCTCGCCCCTCTCATGCTGTTTCTCTCTCGCTCGCTCTCTAAAAAATAAATAAAATCTTAAAAAAAAAAAAAAATTAGAAAGGGGGAACAGCCTACCTGGAACTGGTACTCTTAGTTGACCAAAAAGTGGTCATGAATGTGATCAAATTCTTAGGACCATCCATTCAGTTTGGGGCTGAAAATGCTCAAGTCTGTAGGAGCCGGTTTTGTGATAGAAGATGCTACATTCATTAGAAGCATGGAGAGTTACAATGGATTTAGAAGAAAGATGAAAAGTTTTCATCATGATGACCTCCTGGGGGTGCTATGGTGGAATACTGATATGTAAGAAGAAGATTGTCCCAATTATATGATACAATCTGTCTTTAAATAAGGCTCTGTGGTCAAAAGTCTTGGCTGTATCAGGTCTCTGACCTGTGTGCATCATGTACTAGGACTGTATTTTCACTGAAGTTATTCTGCATATTTCTTCCTTCCTCAGATAAGCTGAGTTAAATATCCTTCAAGTCATGTAATTTATGGCATATTTTAGGTGGACAATTATGGACATCTTTGACTGTATTCTTTGGTTTAGTGGTAAGGGAGAGTTTAATTCTACTGCCTTGAATAATTTTATAATTGTAGGAATGATTCAGCTAAAACACACACATACATGAGTCAAACTTGGCTGGTTCTTTATTACCATGACATAGGGCTGAGCTGGAAGGAAGTAGAGGGTTGAAGGACCAACATGGGGGAGAGTAAGACACAGGAAGACTGAAAGACAGACTGAGCTACAGATGGTCAGACAGACAATCTGAGGAGGTCCAAAATAACTTTGAACTCCGTTTCTTCCTATTGCGCCTAAACATCTACCTCTCCTGGAAATCTCAGGGTATATTTATATGGGCCCTTCACGAAGACTGAAGCTGGAAGGGGAATATTCTATTAAATATCATGAGACAAAGGCTCATAAAAATTAAAAAGTCATGTATTTTTTTTTTGAGTCACTGCAGGGAGAGGATCCACTAAGCTATCCCAGAAGCCTCCCATCCCAGGTGACACACTTAGTAATTCTTTTAAACTAACTACTTAAAAATAAAATTAACAAAAGAGATACTCTACTGAAAGCAGTAAATCTGAAGCCTGGTTTTGTATTTTTTAAAACACTTCTTCTTTATATACACATTTCTTGGGGGGTTAACTAGCAAAATGGAAAGATTATACCTACCAAGAATATCCCCAAATAAAAACTGTGCAATTGTTTTATTGGATTAATATACTAAAAAATCCCTCTATTATATGGGGCATTACTGAAGGATAGTAACTTTTATGTATTTTACTATATCAAAAACTATAATTAATTACTTCAGATGACTTTTCAGTAATTTAACCAACTGTTTGGATAATGGTGCGTGAAAGACCTTTGTTGAATCTACATTTCATGGATCCATTTCTAATTTCATACATTTCTTTTCTCTTCACCTAGCCTATGATCCTCCTTTTTCCTCAGATTTTCTCCACACTCACTTCTTGGGACGATTACATTCTTTCGCATAAACCTCCTTCTGTCTCTCATGGCCCTCAACCTCTTTTCTATTTTTGAATTCCCACTACAGAGGACCCTACTGGAACACTTTGCCATTCTACCCTTTGAAGCCAATTTATTTGACAAGATAAATAATATTTGGGGGAAAATATCTGAAACTGGACATTACTATGTTTTTATGAAAGAGAATTTTAGGTTATTTCCAAGTATCTTCTTCAAATATCTTCCTTCACTCTTATACTTGATAATAGTTAATGCTGATAAAAAAAACTCTTTCTGCAAACAATAAATTTTAATATATACATATAAGCGTTTTTTTTTTTTAAACTAAAAGGAGATCATTGCAAAATAC